TACATTTTTTTACCTTGATCGCCGTTTGGCTTGTGGAATGGCAGGATTGTAATGACGTCGTTATGACTCCATGACTACCGAGATGAAATACACCCCGGTATATCTTTCCCCATTTTCGCGGGCGTATAGCACAGAAACTAGAGGCTTGAGTTTTAAGAAGGACAAGACCGTGAACAGCACCGAAAGGCCTTCAAGATGGCTATTTCAGTCCAAAACACACATTAATGCGGCACACACCCCTTTAAAATTCACGCAAGGTTCAGACCCCGCGCATGCCTCTGCGTACGGCAGTCTTGGCCGCGATTGCCGAGCGCGCACACAGCAGTGCTGAGCTGCGATTGACGAACGCGCCCCCCGGGCGGCGCACATCGGGAGCGTGCAACATGGCTTCAATTACAGCTCGTGAATGTTTGATCGCCTGCCAGGCGACTTGCTTGGGCCGACCCGGTTCAAGTGACACGAACGGCCTGCGCCGCACGGGGGCCGACGATGGCGGGTGGTGCGTGGATGCTGGGCGGCCTGGATGAAGGAGGCAGGAAACAGTCTGGGTATGGGGTGGACCAGGAGTGAATAGCATGGAGTGAAGGGATGAGGGGTCTTTGCTATAGGCAAGAAATCTCCCGGTTTTGCAGCATTATGAGCGCAGAGTTCTTATGCTGAGTTGTTGACATCCGAATTCACAGGCACTGGTTAAATGACTTCAAAGAGCAGACATCGATTATGTTGACAGTGCTCGACGTTTCAAGCTGCGCTTATGATCACGGGATGAACTCGTGCCTATGCCGCTATGTGGTTGATCTTTTTGTGCTTGTGATCTCATGATGAAAAACGCAGCTTGGAACTTCAAGTATGGTCGATGTAACAAATGTCTTTTCTATAATGCTGTTTAAACATTACCCTGGTATATTAAACGTCGATAATTCGGCATACAAGTTCTGAGCTCACAATGCAGGAAAAACGCGTGAACTATTTCTAGGACACTTCCCAAACGAGTCATTTGATTCATTTCTGGGATCCAAGACAGCGGGTCTGAAAGAGTCCAAACCTCCTAATTCAAGTCCCCGAGACGACACAGGAAGAATAAAAAATCCGAAAATAGCATTGGGCCCATCGTCTCGTCCAGTGCTGGCATGAATGTCGTCACGTGAAAGGCACTTTGTAAAGAAGTTGTGCGAAAGTGGCAGTGGCCAATACAGGTGGCATACTGTCGAGCTGAGGGAATAAACACTTAACATGAGATGCAAGAGGGATGGGAATAAACACCTCGGACGTGGAAGAAGTGGGGGTGAACAATTTGGACGTGGAACATGATAAAAACGTCAATGAAAATATTGAACGTGAAAGAGATGTGAGCCACGCCGTCTGCTCGTGGATGTAGTGGGAAGTGCACAGCTCGGAGGGAGGAACAGAGAGGGAACACCCTTAGTGTGGTGAGGACGTCTGGGGTGGACAGCTCACACGTGACAGGAGTGTTGAGGGAACAGACCCGACACGAGAAGGGGCAAGGCAAGGCAAGGCAAGGCAAGGCAACAGCTAAACGCGCTTGAGGCATGGGAGGTGATAAGTGCCGACACGGATAGGACGTGGTGCGATACGTGTCTGCTATCTATACAATTTTGATGATGAAACTATTAGGTTCGTTCGTGGTGCGTTCTGTTTTTTGGACTTACGGACTTCTTGTGTCATTCAGGAATATTATCGTGCATCACCTGGCGACATTCCCCAAATAGGCTTCGTCGTGTCCATATCGATGTCCTTCAGTCCTTTTAAGCGAGTTTTAAGCAAGTTATTCGTTTCAGTGTATTACGATAGGATTAGTCAATAGTTACCTGGGTTAGTATTACGATTAGGTTAAAGTTTTCACGCGAAAAACAGGAGCCGAGAGGCGTTTCCCGGCCTTGCCTTCTCCGCTCCGTTTTTATTTCTGTACTTCCGGCGTTGGGAGACGCGATCCACTAAGCTTTGAGCCTCCGGCTGAGAAAAACTATATTGAGTTCCCCTAACATGCCTCTTTAAGTGTTCGTTGAACCCCCCCCCCCCATTCACCACGCAAGAGTCTTAAAATTTTAAGTACATGTGTGAAGACAAGGCAAAAAGGGAATAGATCGTAAACAGCGCAGGAATTGCCGTTTACAACTATGGGAATAAACTTCACCACCCGAATGGAAACATTTACAATCGGAATGAAGAGTCCGACCTTTGGGTTAAAAGGGCGTGAAGTCCCAAATCAAGTGACCCATATTAAGTCTCATATCAAGAGCGTGCCTGATTATTTACTAGCGCGAGTACATCTAGAAACGCCATCCACATCCTCGAAGCAGCTCAGGCGTACGGTCGCGCTCATCAAACGCCGCTTCATCTCTGGCAGTCGCTAACTGACACCAGCCTGAGCGATCAATTAGCTCATAATCCGATTACTCTCAACAAACGCGCCGCATACATGCACCACGTTGGTCGGAATCCGCGTGGTGCTCGTGCGGGGAGGCTCGCAGGACAATTATGGCAGTTCGACGGCAGGAGTTAGACTCCGGAGAGTTCCAGCCGGCCTTCAGCGGGACTCCGGTGAGTTCCAGCCGGCCTTCACCGGAGCCTTTAGCGGGACTCTGGCGAATTCCAGCCAGCCTTTGGCGGGACTCCGGTGAGTTCCAGCCGGCCTTCGGCGGGACTCCGGTGAGCTCCAGCCGGCCTTCAGCGGGCTCCGGTGAGTTCCAGCCGGCCCTCAGCGGGACCCGGTGAGTTCCAGCCGGCCTTCAGCGGGGCTCCGGTGAGTTCCAGCCGGCCCTCAGCGGGACTCCGGTGAGTTCCAGCCGGCCTTCGGTGGGCCAAGTGAGAGCTCGGACCGGGCTGGCCGACCGACGGGCGGTGGAAGATGGGTGACAAGGAGCCGGCCGCGCTCCGCCGATTCCGTCCGGTGACGGGTTGCACGGGGGACTACCGTCACTCAGGGACGCCGCGGCTCGCCACAAGGTCATGGCGATGGCGACGGGGTCGGCCCGGGTTACTGGAAGTCAGCGCCGCCGCTCCGGACGGTCAGGTTTTGACTGGACGTCTGCGGACGGCACGCGATCAGGGGCGCACTTCTGAAAGCTAAGATGGGGGGGGGGGCGAACAGAGCCAGAAATAGCTCAGCCTTACCACAAATTCGCAAAATGGGTTTC